CAGAACCAGGCACTGTGTACGCATGGGCAGATGACCAGATGACTGTCAGCAGCGTAAAGAGATGTGAGCCTATGTGAGTGCCCTCTCTCCATCATGCCAGGGCCAACACAACCCTAAGTGCACACCCCCGCACACATGGCCCCCTCCTCTTGGAAGATTTCAGTTTGCTGATCTAGCTGTGAGGCTCTGGATAAGTCACTTTCCCCATCAGAAAGCAGGTGGTGAATTTAGAAGAGCAGGAAGCTGCTGAGTCACTGGGCAGGTGATCTAGGAAAAATCACCTGCCTAAACGTCCCTCTTCCCATCTGTAAAGTAAGATTTGGACTACATTATCTCCAGGGTCTCTCGGGGTACAAAATTCTGACACATGGAAACTGGTAGGACAAGAACAGGATTCTTCAAAGTGATGCAGGTGAAGGAGAAAAAGGTACATGATGCCCTTTGTGGACAGCAGACGTCAGTCATGTCTGCACTCGGGGCTCTTGTCCTGGGAGTCCTAGGCCAGCCTCCCACTGAGAACTACCCCAGAAATGGAGGAAATGCAAGCAGACAGTGTTGGAGTCCCTTGTCTACTACAAATCCCTGTGGGTGAGGTGGTAGGTGGCCTGTGGTCTGTTGTCCCACCTCATTTCAGACAGATTTCCTGAGGAGCAAGCCCTGAAATCTGCTCAGTCTCAGAGGAAGAACAAATTGATTCCAGCAAAGGACTCTTCTTCCAAGAACATTAAAGCCAGCTGTGGTTTCTGCAGTGTGGGGACCCCCTCCTGCTCTCCCAGCTACTGCTTTCCTGGGGGCTGCCACCCCCACACCCCCATCTTCAGAAGCTGACAAAGATGCTCTCCTCCTGCCCCTTGTCCCACCACCACCTTCTCCGTTCCAACCAGCAGCACTTCCGGCTGGGATTCTCTACCTTGGACTCACTCCCGGGAATTTCTGGAAGCATCAAACGGTGCAAACAGATTGTTTTCATTATGGTTATTCTGAGTTTAACCTCCTGGCCCTGCACCACCAAGATTACAGTCTCTTTCTTGGTACTGCAGGGGACCAGCAGCCTTTCCTTCCTAGCGCTCAGCCCTTGAATCCGTCATTTCCGTGCTGTAATTCTGGGCCCTCTCTCAAAAGGCTCCCAGGCCTCACATGGCCTCTCTGCTCCTCAGAGCTCCATCTGATGAGGCTGAGTGGTCTCAGACGGGCAGACAGGACAGGCATCCTCCCCTGCAGTCCCAACCTGTGACATGATCGCGTCCTCTCTGTGAAACCAGCATTACTGGCTCCAAGCCACCTCCCAAAGGGCTTCAGGGGATCTGCCAACATTTGGTTTGAATGTTTTTAACATGAAGATTTTTCTATTCTTCAAAATTATAATAAAAACAACACACCCATTCAAGTGTATTACACACAAATTTTAGTGTATTGAAAACTACCAACACATGTAATTTAGGTCACTGTTTTTGTGCAGACTTTACAATGGAATAAAACTTCTATTTAATTAAAGGTGGTCCTGGGAGTGTCAGGATAACTGATTAAAAAACAAATAAAACATACTTGCCAATTGCAAACGTTTCTCCTTGGATTTCTTGATACTGCACCATCAAAATAAATGATACTGGCTCTCAAGTGGGGTGATTTAGTCCCTCAAATGACATTTGACAGTGTTTAGAGACATTTCAGTTTTCAGAACTGAGGAGGCTGTACTTACTGGCATCTAATGGGAGACACTGGAGATATAGCAAGCATCATTCAAGGCACAGGAGTGCCCCCCCGTGACATAGAACTATCTGTCCTCCAATGGTAATAGTAGCCAAGTTGACAAACCCTGACACATGGGAAGGCATTAGACACATAGGTTGGCATGAGACCAACTCATTTCGGTCTTCCTAGACTTCAAATGATCATGTTGACCAAAACTACTTTATTCTCATCCTTAGGCTTAATGAATAAATGCTACAACTAGGAAATCTCAGATAATTGTGCTAATAAAACACCATTTACAAGGGATTCCATGTAATATTTATTTACAAAACAAATGATACTTATCTTTCAGGAACGATACTGATCACAAAGATGATTTTCCAGAGGCTTATCTACTATACTGTGGATATGCAGATCTCTGTGATTTTCCCAAATATGGGAAACTCAACTGCCTAATTTGTGGTAATGGAGACTTTGTTCATGTTTTCTTGTTCTTCTGGTTTGTGTATGTGTGTGTGTGAGAGAGAGAGAGAGAGAGAGACAGAGACAGAGAGAGACAGAGAGACAGAGACAGAGACAGAGACAGAGAGAGGGTCTTGCTGTGTAGTTCAGGCTGGCCTTGAGTTCACTATGTAGCCCAGGCTTGCCTTGAACTCACAGTGATCCTCCTGCCTCAGCCTCCTGAGTGCTGGGATTACAGGCATGCACTACCATGCCTGGCTACTTTGGTACTTTAAAATGCATTAAAACCGAACAGAATATTATGGCTTGATAAAGAACGACCCCTGAGTTAGTGTGTATGGAAGGTCTCTATGTTGTAGCACCAGAATGGCAGATACCCTGGCATGATCTGGTTCTCCCCTGCCCTGGCCAAGGGCAGCTGCTGCCATGAAGACTATTGTGTTGGGCATGGCTTCTGCCCTCCTCCCTCCACTCCTAGACACATTGCCAATCTCTCAAAATCTTGCTTTCTTCAACTGCGAGATAGTAATATTGCCTATCTCATTGGCCAGGTAGAGGATTAGGCAATATACTCCGTGTCAAGTGCTTAGAATAGTGCCAACCACACAGGAAGCCCTCTACAAACACTAAACTCCACTATCATTATATTTCCGTTGATCCCAGCAGCCTACAGACTGGAACTGGCCAAAGGAGGACACCTGTTGCTTCCCTCCCCCTTCCTGATTTGTGGATCTATGTCTTCCTTCATAACCCAGGGCTCCAGCACGATTCTCAAAGAAGGAGCATGGCAGCCTCTCCCCATGCTCACGTGTGTCACTAAGCGACCAGAACAAAACCTCAAGCAACAGTGTCCAGCGACTCAGAAAGGAGGAGCTGCCCCTTCCCAGCTGTCAGGCCCTCCCACTTCCTTACTTGCAGCTTCTCTTTGGAGGCCTTGAGGGAGGGGAGAGGGGATGTCCCAGCCAGGACTTCACCGGGAAGGGGAGCTGTTTACATTTCAGCAGGCTCCATTGTTTCAGAGGACACAGAGCTTTCTCATCCTGGAAGTGCAGCGTCTCCCACCACAGTGGCAGGGCTGGGTCTGGACCTCTCATGTTCTGCCTTTGAGGCCACACTATCTGTTGATAACCCAAGCCTTCACTTAACAAATTAGCCACCTCCCAGAGCCACCAACTGCCTTCCTGTTGTGTAAATGTCACAACAAGCTTACTGGCCACCGACAGCATGGTGGAGGGACAAGAACAGACTGTGCCAAGCTGCTGAAAGCAAAGGGCAGCCAGCGCCCCTTCCCCTGAGGAGACCCCTGCAGGGCAGGCACCACCTGGTGGCCCTAGAGGGCGGTGGCATCTTTGGACTTTCTTCCTGCTCATGTCTCCGACACCGGCAGGGTGTGGTATGAGGAAGCAGCCAAAGCCCATCCTGGGAAAGGCTTGTTTCGTGGCAGCCAGACAGCCAGATGGGGAGGAACGGGTGGAGGGTCCTGCCCTTATGTCCCAGCATGTGTCCCTTCTGAGCAGAACTGCCCCTTCCCTAGGTATCTCCCACCGCAGCCTCCCCTACTCTTACCTGCAGGTGCCCCAGGCAAAAGCCTGGGGTGACCCTCAGGCCTCTCTGACTCTTATCCATCAGCACTTCTTCCTAATCTTCCCTTCTATTTTTTTTTCTTTTCTGTCTTTCTTTTTTTTTTTTTGTAGTGGGAATCGAACTCAGGACCTAGTGCTTGCCAGGCAGGCACTTGTGCTGCTGAGCTATACCCCAGCCCATCTTCCCTTCTAGAATCAGAGCCCTGTTCACCACATCCAAGCCCACCCTGACTGGGCTCATCTTCCCGACTGGGATCATTACCACAACCCTTCCCTGGGGCCTGCTTCTGCCTCCTCATGCTACAGCCATTCCCCTACACAGCTACAAAGCAATGGCTTTGATAAGAAAGCCCCATATTTTCACTCTCCTAGAATGCTTCAGACCCCAGAGGGAGCTTCCCAGCCTCCACAGTAAAATCCAAAGTCCTTTCTGTGACTTGAACCATCTGCCCACCTGTACCCTACCCCAGCAGCAAAATTTAGAACTTCATTTTGTACCTCTGTCCCCTTACTTCTCCATTTCCAAGAATATAAGCTCCTTGTCCCCCAAGCCCCGGCCACCCCACCCCAGCACTTTGAGCCTCTGTCTATTCCAGTGTTCCCACACTGTGTGCCCTGACACTGCGTATCATGCTCCCCCACTTCCTCCAGGCCTTCCCAGACCTTTCCCAACCCCTGGTCTCCTGTTAGTTACGTGTTTATTGTTTACGTGCTTATTGTCTGTCTCCCTCTCCAGAATACAAGCTTCTTGAGTGCTGGACTTTGTGTCATCCACAGCTACATCTCCAGTGCCCTGCAGTCTGTGGGAGGAGCTCAAGTCTAGCTGATAAAAAAACACCCCTGAAAATGTAGACAGGAACCATGCCCATGCCTTCCATGGTGACAAATGACTTGGCACCTGTCTTAGTTACTCTCTGGTCACTGAGATACAATATGCGACACCCACAAGTTAAGGGAGGGAAGGTTTATTTGGTTCACCTTTGTAGAGGTTTCAGTCCATAGGCAGCCTGCTCCAAGGCAGGACGGCATGGCAGAGGGGCACAGCAGAGGAGAAAGAGCTCATGGCGTGGTAGCAGGATGCAGAGTGAGATGGAGGAGGAAGGGAGAGACTCCTCTAGGCCACGCACCAGTGACTGCCTCCTTCCACTGAGCTTCACCTCCCAAATCACATCCAGCTCCACACCCATCAGTGGATGAGTCCACTGACAAACATGATCCAATCACCTCCCAAAAGTTTCACCTATGAACCCAGGGGCTTTGTGGGGACATCCAGATATAAACCATAACTGCAGGGTATTTCAGGGAGAAGAAACAAGAGCCCACAAGAACCAACAAAACCCTTCCTTGAGCAAGGGCTGGAGAAATGGAAAGCAATTGCCTAGACTCACTACAGCATAGGACCTGTGCTGTGAAGGCAGGGCAGGAAGATATTCCTGGAGCACTATGTGTCAGGCCTGGTGCCAAAACATGAAAAAGGCCTGCCTTCCCGATCCATCACACCCTGCACTGGGCAGCAACGTCAGTGTTGCACACATGGAGAAGACACCCTCAGAGAAGATGCCCGGTGGCCTTGGCTACATCTCCCAAATACTGTCTCCCAACACAACACAGGCAGTGCTGCCGGAGACCCACAGGGAAGTCAAGCTGCACCCACCCTTGGCCAGCAGCCAGGGCTACTAGGATTGCTGCCAGCTGGAGACAAATCCCTCCCAATGAATCCATGCTCCTCTCGGCAAAAGCACCCAGCTGCCTCGTCCTGCCCACACTGGGGAGAGATTCTCAGCTGTGCTCTCAGCAGAAGAAAGCAGAGTGAGGCACAGTGTGAGAAGACTGATCCTGTCCATGCTGTCAGGTCACCATAGCGCTGGCTGTGAGTTAGCTGGGGAAGGATGCAAAACTCCGGGGGTGGGGGATGGGATGGGGTGGGATGAGAGCAGGACAGAGACTGGAGTTTACTGGGGTTTTCATATGCAGTCTGAATTTTGTATGAGGTGTATGCGTCGCTTAATCAAAAGAAACAGTTGATTAAATTTTTAATTTTTTTTCATTTCCCAGGCTTTCAAGAGCCAGTGCTGTTTTGTGAGCAAGGCTGCACTCATGGTGGCCCACTGGCCTTCTCCTCCACCAGGTGCCTGTGCCCACCCAGTGCCAAGGTCCCTGGCACATCAGGGCTCCTGCCAACTGTGTCCAGAGCGCATAGGTTGGGTGGTAGATGGCAGCCTGTGGGTGCACTGGAGGCCAGTGCCTGAACGCCGGCGGGCATCTGAGCCACTCTGGGAGCTGCAGGTGAGTGTGCTGAAGTCCAGACATTGCTCCACTGCCCATCGCTCACTGTCTTGGAGAATAAGGTCTCAGGAGCAGAAGGCTCATTGACCAGACCTGGGCCTGGTGCCACCGTGTGCTGTATCAGAGGGGTCACAGAGGGCTGAGAGAAGACATTCCGCCCTCACTTGGTATCACCCTGCCTGGGATGCCCACCGTGGAGAAATTGGTATTCTTAGGTGTCGGGGGTGGGGGGTGCCAGGCCACCAGAGCGGTCAAACATCCCCCACAGTGTTAATGTAACACAATGCGCTTGAAATTGCAGGAGAAGAGCTGCAAGTGGTGGACTGTCAGATCAAAGGGAGCGGCGTGAGTGACCGGCCACAGGAGACTACACTCATTTCCCATTGACAGAGTGCCCGCGCGCGGGGAAGGAGTCCTGGGCTTTGAAGGGCTTTGAAGGATCGTTATGCTATTTTGAACATGAAGTTACAATTTCAGAGGCAATTAATGGGATTTGGGATGAATGACTCAAGTTCTAAATCCACAGGGCTAAAACCTCGGAGGCCCGAAGAGCCACGCCTGAGGCCATTTCTTGGCTTCTAGCAGGAAGGGAAGCGCTGGAGGCTGAGGATGCTCGTGGGCAGGCCCGGCGGCCCTGGGACGCTGCAGGCAGGGAGGGGGCTCCCTGTAAAGCCCTCAGTTTCGGCCTCACTGGCTAACTTTTTGGCAACTTTGGGTGTCCTACAGCCCAGGGGAGGACAATTTTCTTTCAGGAAAATGGTGAAATAATTGGAGCTGAGAGGCAGCACTGGTGACAAAAACCTGGCATGCAAATTCCTTCTGTGAGTCCTGCAGCTCAGGTTGCCGGGCACCAGCGTTCTCCCTCGCTTGGTCACTTCTAAACAATGACTAACCCCAGTGAATAGGGTGATGAAATACACTCTCAGGGGACTGCGTTTTATTACACTGAGATCCCTATTTCAGAGCAATTAATAAGCAAACTATAGACTTCACCATTGTTTTCGGTAAAATACCAACCTCAGCAACCTGGGCAGGGTAGTGGTTTTCAGTTGAGGTTGATACCAAAGGACAATGACCTTTTCTAAAACTGTTCCCAGCCACTGGCCGGGAGAAAGAGGCCAGGCACCCATACTTCCCTGGATGGCTCAACCTGGAAGATGAGGGGCTCATTTTAACTTCAAGGCACTTCTGTTCCCTTCTGTGACAGGAGCTATGCTTGTTTTGTTCTGCCACATGACCTTTTGAGAACAATGGGGTAGAGCCGTGTCCTGTCTCTAGCAGAGGTAGCAGGGGTACAGGGGCCCCTTGAGCCAGACTTATCACCCTACTAGGGTAACAAACTGTTCCAGTTTACTCAGGACCTAGGGGTTTCCAGGCCGTGGGACTTTCAAAGTCAAATCTAGAAATCTTTGGGGAAAAGCAGAGTGAGTGGTTCAGCGTACCTCCAGTCTGTCCATTCTACAATCGCTGCCTCCTCTGCCTGGGTCCATGAGGACCAAGGAAGGACAGTGTGAACTTGACCAGAATAAGTCATCTAACGCGAATTTCCCCCACAGAGAACTGTTCGTGCGTGACCTCAGCAAAGCTCTCCCTACGAGCTCCAGAGGTTTAAGTGACCAGGGTCACCTTGTCATAGGTGAAAAGGCAGGAATGTTGACGCAGGTCTCCCTGACATCAAAGTCTCACACTTCACCGAGGAATAGTACAAATACAACCAATCATTTTAAAATCTCCAATACCACTTTTTTTAAAAGTTCGCCTAAGAGCAAAAAAACATATTTTTTGGTAAATTTACCTTTTAAACTAATAATTAAAACATAAAAATTGGACATGTTTTTTGATTTTCTTTTTTTCTTTTAAAGAGAATTTTAAAAAACACACTCATAAGTAAAAGAAATCAGTCTCGCATGTATAAACATCGTATTTTCTCACTAGTGTAAAAAATGAAAGAGTAAATAAGATACAAAAGGTACAATAGATATTGTGAAAGTGAAAGAAACTGCTCAAAAGGAAAGAACAACTGGGATGGGGGAAAGGAGAAAAGAAGGAAGGGGGAAATATATATAAATATATACACACAAGATAGCTAAGATAATTGTACTACTAATTTCTATTAGTTTATTGAAAGGAACAGTTAGTGCTTATATTGTTTGATCAGTCTTACATGCCTATATCTGAACAACTACTTTTAAGATAACAATATGCAATATAATAACCATCGCTAACTTCCTATCATCTTGTTTTGAGAATCGTACATGTTTATGGATACCAGGTGCTGTTTCAGTGCAGGAGTATGCTGCAACTTTGTTTGTTTTTTTTTGTTTTGGGATGTGTGTGTGTGTGTGTGTGTGTGTGTGTGTGTGTGTGTTTGGATGTGGTCTGGAAATCAAACCATCAAACCCAGGGTCTCAAGCACTGTACCTGTAGCTACAAAATGTCTAAATCAGAGTAAGCACATCTACCACCCCCCAAAATTTAGCTTTCTTTGGGTGTGTGTAGGAGGGGGTGCACTGGGATTGGAACCCAGGACCTTCACACTGGGCTATCTTCCCAGCCCTTTTTATTCTGAGGCAGGGTCTTCCTGAGTCATTAAGTTGCCTAGGCAGGGCTCAAAGGTATACTCTCCCTGCCTCAGTCTCCCAGAGCGCTGGGATTACAGGTGTGTGCCACTGCACCTGGATTAATCATTTCTTAATGGTGAAAATATCCAGAATCCAGTCTATTGTTTTGAAATGTGTGTTTTCTACAATCACTCTACTGTACAAATAGCACAGCAGACGTCCCTGTGTCCCATCGAACCATCCTTAATACTGCTGAGCAGGCTTCCCCTCCCCTCCTTTACCCCCCCCCCCAGCCTCTGGCACCCACCTTTCTATGCTCCACTTCTGTGAGATTAATTGTTTTAGATTCTATATATGAGTGAGATCATGGACACTTGTTCTTCCTGTTCCTGGCTTATTTTATTTTACACTGTGATCTACAAGTCCATTTGTGACAAATGACAGAATTTGGTATTTTTTATGCTACATGACATCCTCTAGTGTGTGTGTGCCCCATGACCTTATCTATTTATTGGTTGGTGGATATGCAGCTTGTTTTGTGGCTTGGCTGTTGTTAACAGTGGCTGTAGTGAACATGAAAATGCAGATGTCGCTTCAAAATACTGGTTCCTTTTTCTCTGAGTGCATATACCTAGATCATACGGTACTTCTACTTTTTAATTTTTTGAGGACTCTCCACCCTGTTCTCCATAATTGTCATGAATTCCATCCCCACCAGCAATGTGCGAGGATTTCCTTTCCTGCACAGGCTCACCAGAGCTTGTTATCTTTTGTCTTTTGAGTTCCTTTCTTGAAGAGATTTTTACTCTCTCAAAATTAAGTGCTACAGTATATCGATTATAAGTGTAAGTGGCTCCAAATATATAATTTCTAAACTATTGTAAAGATTAAGTAAAACTGTCACTTCACTCTTTAAAATGTATACAATGATGGGACAGAAAAATGGAACAAAGCCTGTGAGACAGAATCTGGTAATACCAAACAAAATTACACAGCAATTGTGTCTTTATCCAGAAATTCCCACTTCTAGGATCTATTTGAAGGATAGAGTAGTAAGTAGTACAAAATAATATAAGGTTATTTATTGTTAGTAATAGCAAAAGTATAGAAAAACACACTGAGCAATAGGGAAATGGCTTAATACACCAGTGTGTCCCCACTAGAGTGCTATAAAGCTATAAAGAAGGAATAAGGAAGATCTCTGTATAGATTCTTGATATAATGTACAGGACATATATTTTTATTTGAGAAAGGCAAGGTATAAAATCATGTATAATATGCCACCTTTTATGTAATACAGACTGAGGGACATCAATAGTGATATTTGCCTATATTTTGAAATGAAAGCAATAAAAGTTTCAGAGTAAGTGAAAATGGCTTTCTATATGAGAAGGGAGTATAAAAGAATTCAGAGAAAATGAAATTCTCTGAAGCTGAAATTCTCTGGATGTCCCTTGTTTTATACCTTTGACATTGTAAACATATGGATATTTTGTGGACTAATTAAATAAAGTTAAATCAAAAGAAAATATCTCTAAAAATCAAACACAAGACAGATAAATGAACCTAATGGGGTATCAAGCTGGTGGCTTAAGCATGCAGAGAATTATTTAAGTGACTTTAAAATATAATAAATAAACCTGGCTGAATATTCCAAATAAGACCCATGTTAAATAAACTGCAAACAAATCTTTAATTTATTAATTCATTAACTGTAGCATGGTAGTTACATTAATAACATTATTTTGAAGTGATCATATATCAGAATAAAATAATCATATTTATGAAAACAAAAATTTACAGCATAAGAGAAAAGATACAAGTGCAAATTCAAAAAGTTAAGTCAAACCCCATAATCTAAAATTTTAATCTAAATATTAATATTGACTCTTAATACACTGTTATATTTCAAAAGAAATACATTTTTCCTTGCTCTGTTCTCTAAAAGGTCTCAGTATCAGTGCTAATAGAATAGCACTCTGTGCCCCCAGACTGTGATCTCTAATCCCCACCTCCCACTCAAGGGTGACTTGAGAGGTCTGCAGTAGAGAATGAACAGGCAAAGCTACAGCATCTTGTCAAACTAGAAGGTTAAGGACACTAGACAGCCATGGTCCCCAACCTTCTAGGGACCAGCGACTGGTTTCATGGCATACAATTTTCCACACACCAAGGATGGGGTGGGGTGATTTCAAGGTGATTTGAGTATATTGCATTTTTGTGCATTTTACTTCTTTTTCCATTAGATTCTCATAACAAATGCACAACCCAGCTCCCTCACATGCCTGGTTCACAGTGGGGTTTGTGTTCCTACGAGAATCTAAGCGCACAGCGGATCTGACAGGAGGCAGAACTTCGGTAATAACTTGAGCCATAAGAGTAACTGTTAAGGAGCTTGGGGACCCTTGCCATACAGGACTACTAGGGTCCCGATGAAAGACCACAGAGCCAAATCAGAGGGGCTCACTCACCACAGATGAAACCACTTGAGCATCAAAAAGTCTAATGACTGCCATGGAATGAAATACATGAAATATAATAAAAATGGCCACAGGCTCTGAACACTGCTGTATGTTCCTGCTGGGTATGAAAAGAACGTGAGGCTTTGTTTACTCCTTACCCAGGACACCTGCTAGAGCTCTACAGAGAGCAATTTTGGGGGGCTGAGCAATTTCATACTACAGGACAAAAATTCCCATCTCCCATGTCCAGGGGTTCTATGTGCCCTCCATCCCCGTTAACCGCATGCCATTCACCCAGGCCAAGCCATGTTGTCCTCGGGTGGCTTGGGATACAAAAGAATGGATGTGAACCAGAGGCTCCTGCTACTCACTGTGCCGTGTGTAATAAGGCCCTTCACCTCTGACGTGCGAGTTGTGAGTCTTCTGCCATAACCTTGAAATTGGCAGGCAAATGTGGTAG